GGTTGATAAGCGCATTCGTGCTTTCTGATTGGTTGAGTCAGCATAAACCATTAGATTCATAGTAAGGTACGTCTTCAGCTCATAGCGGCACTGTAGTGGCTTCCGTATTCCTTTATTCTGATTGGTTATTGCTATATTACGTGCTTCTTATTGGTTGAGAGCTATAGAAGCCATTTTAAAGGAAGGCCGAGCAGCAAGTTTCTAGTTCAGTTAAGTAAAACTCCATAATTTGACTTAATATTAAACTTAATCTAACTCTTAATGCTTTTAAATTTCAAGACTAACATTTCAATCATTTAAATTACCATGGACGAGTCAAGATACTCCTGGTAACCATCCCTTCTTTTTTGAAGAAATTCCTTAACTTCTGRCAGCTTTGCATTTTGTATGGAGATGTCATAGTCGTTCACAGCATTGCTGCAATAGGCAACGTCCTGCACACAATAGGCCCCATATCGCTCAGGATGCAAGCTGCCATGACGAATGCCATGCAGAAACTGTGTTTCCAGTGCTGCATTGCTAAATGACAGGGAGTTCTGCCACAAGTATTCAGAGAGCGGCATGGATTGACGCTGTGGAAATAATATAATRCCAACACAGAAGAATATATGCCGAAAACACGAGCAGACAAAGTAGATATTTAGGCACCGAATTAAGTCCATCTGATTGGTCCGTACTAGCGCAAAAAGTGACGTCATAGCTTATTTGCATATTGAGTCTGAAGCCTCGTCCTGAGGTAGTATTTACATTGGTTATCAAAATGGCTGTAAAATATCAGTAAAGATTATCATAGGCATTAGTTTGGGGTTTAAACGACGGGAAAGAGGCACGGAAATTCAGATTTAGCGAAAATTTGTGTTTCGCTAAGCGAATGTAATGCAAGTTGGGTGGTGTATAACAAATCTTTTGAGGTGTTTCAAAGCTAAAACCAATTTTGAGGTAAGGCCGCCATTTTGCCTTTTTTGGCATTGCTTTGATCAAAAAGTTCACCGTTTATCTTATTTTAAAACACGCGGCATTATCCAAGATAAGGACTCTTGAGGACTGGGAGTATGAGCTTGATAAGAATTTATTTAAAAACTCACCATTATTTCGATGTTTGAAGTATATTTATTAATGGAAATGATAATAGCAAACAGTACTAGCTATTTGGAATCAAAAATATGAATTTTAAAAAGAATATCGGCCAAAAACCACATTTTTAAGATATTGACCACAGGGAGCCCATAACTGGCTTTTCTTCAGAAAATTAAAGTCCAATTAAAATGGAATCCAAAAGAGATTAAAATGCGCACCGGTCCTAATATTTATTACCATACTCTAATCTACATTTATGCAAATTTTGGTGCTTTTGTCCGCTGTGTATAGATCTGACCAAAAATTTGCACCTATCCACCCGACTAAAATACCTAACCGTTAGAAGATCGTACCTGAAATACCTAACAGTTAGGAGATCGTTACGTGAAATACCTAAC